AGTTACGGTATAATATCTTTCTCTCATAATAAATTAGAGAACGGTATTTTTCAGCCTGACTTATTAGCGAAGCGAACAGGGCTTATGGACCTTCTGTAGCTACTCGACAACTTCACCCTTGTGGGCCTGTTTGGTACAGCTTATAAGCTGTTTATGGCTAAAATAAGTTGAAATCAACAGCTAAACGTCACGTTTTTCAGCAGCTTATTCTGGCCACGATTATTCCCACGGCTCTCATTTTTCTAAAAAGCAGAAGCTAGATTAGACCAGCTTATTTTGACCGCCGCTTTTACTTTATTTGTACTCCCTCCGTCCCATTGAGTTTGTCGCTCGGGAAGCGGGATTGTGAGGGGGGCACGGTTTTCAAACGACAAACTCAATGGGACGGAGGGAGTACAGCTTATCTGGAAAGCATTTCTCAGGTAAGCTGTACCACCCAATTTTACATAGCAAAACCAAGTACTCATATATGTGCGTTCAGGATGTCCAAACACACATATATATCATAAATTATAATAATATCAAAGTAAAGTACTTATTACATCGCATATCTCATCATAATGTTAATACATAGTTTTGCTCATTGGCAATATTATTACACACACAGCGGAATAATTAGACCCAATCTACCACAGGGATTTCAACTAGTGAACATCTCCCTAATAGTTCTGGACATCCTTCGGAAACTCCTCATACACGTTATCAGTTACCCATTCGGGATTTTTATTGAAAGTAAAGTAAGTGTAAGCTCACCATGCTTAGCAAGTATATCAAAGGGATCTACGAGGCTCAAAAGGCTAGACACGGTTTGACTGCGGTTCGCAATTTTAGTTGATCAAGTTTTAGCATCATGAATCACTACTTTAGTGAACAATCCAAAATCCCAAGTGATAATAATGTATAATCATGTTTATATCAATTCCCAACCATCCATGGTAACCACTAATCACGAAGGATCCAGATCGCTCGTATCCGTGAGCACGGCTGTTATAACAGGTCAAATATTTTTGTAAAAATTATACAACTTTACCCATCGAGCTGTGATTCCTAATGCCGGGGTTTGCAAAGCCCACAACACCTCTACCTAGGAAGTGTGGCAGGGTTTCACTACGTAACCCTTCGCTAATCGCACTAACAAGTCGTAGCTGCTAATGTTTCAGCTGTCTAGCCGTATGTGGCCCTCCTCTAGGAGTGGCACGCGTGGTCGCGGCACGGTACACCCCCCCTAGCAGGTAAGGAAACATACCAACTAGTGCCCCCCTTTTGCCCGTACGGAAAGCTACAGACGAGCTAGTATAATCTAGTTAACAGGTTAAAGTCAGAGCCATATGACACTCGAGGTTGTACGAAACCTCCTGGGTGGCCGCTTCAGGATTAAGTCCTTATGGAGAGACACTAGAGTACTCAACCCCGTACTCTATCCCCCTAATTGTTGCTAAAAAGCTCTATTTTATCACATTGCATAATGCCTTTAATCATGTTTACCAATTATTTTATGTTAAGCGCTGCAGCATCTATCCAAAATGCATACCCAAACCCTAGGTAACAATGATATGTGGTACAAGTAATAATCTAAGTAAAGTCCTTAAGGTATTTCAAATTAGACACATGCATGAATATGAATTGTAAAGTTTATAGGTACAAGGGGCCTTTGCTACACTTGCCTTCCTCAAAGTTATCCTAGTACTGCTGATCATCTTGCTAGTCCTCGGTCACCACAAACTGCTCACACTCTAAACGTGTTCCAATTCACCAATCAAGCATCAAATCCAATCATTACATGCATACAAATAGACTTCTATTAGAACAGTACACCAAACAGTAAAAACATAGATTGAAAAGCTTATAATTATACTCTACGTACTGCTACAAATACGTGAGCGAAAGAATCACTCAAATCGGACTTAAAACGTAAAAGTTATGCATGAAATAAGGTTTAATGACATTTCTGTAAATAAACCAAACTCATTTTTGAATTAAAACAATTAAAATCTGAATTTACACGGATTCTGGATTGCGCGCACTATTTCTGGAATCTATAGGATCTAAAACGAATAAAAATAAGACTGAAATATATTTGTTTTGAACTGAATTAGACCGCGGGTTGATTCACTAGAAACCTAGGGACTAATTTGCAAAATGTCCGGTGGCTGACCGTGGGTTGACTGCGGCTGCTGACTGGGCAGCCACGTGATCGCACGTGATTGGCGCAGTGTACCACGTGTGCGTGGGCGCACGCTGACGCGGCACTGTGGACCTTGTCCACGGGTCCACGGTGGACCGGTTACACATCCCGAACCGGTATGTAATCCTGGCCGTCCATCCAAGATCCGACGGCGAGGAGCAATCGGGACATCTCCCGTCGACTACACAGCGGCTCCGGCGAGCCCGCCATGGCCGGCGGCGAGCCGTGCGCCACGGCACACGCCGGTACGGCATTCCAGACCGTCCCGATCGAATCCATCTATACGTACATGAACTACAGGCGCTCATGAACACAATGGGGTGCAATCCTAGGGCGGGGAACGCACCGGAGCGACGGTCCCGCGGCGACGCCATGGCCGGCGGCGACTGGTGCTCGCCGATACGGTGCTCCAGTGCGTTATTTGATGAACGGAAAGCATGGGTAGGTAGAGAATCTCACCGCGAGTCCAACGGTGATGGTCGTGGCGTCCAGGAAGGCTCCGAAGGGGCGGGTCGACGGCGGCGACGAACTAGAGAGAGAGAAAGGGTGCGGGTGAGGGTGAATCCGGGCATTGGGTAACCAAAATGACGAATTGATGGTACCTACGGACGCAGGGGAGTACGGCGGAGCTCCGGGGCACGTCGGCGTCAAGGATTAGGGCGCTGGTACGACGTATTGTGGCGGCGGTGGCGAGCTCGAGCGCGGACGAGCGGAAGGGAGAGGGAGGTGCTCGGTTCAGGGCTTTATAGGCCGGACGGGTGCTACGATAGATGGAAGGGGAGAGGGAGGCGGGCGAAATTGGGCGCCTTCCAGGCGGGTGCGGTGGCCCGGTGGCTTGTCGTGCATGGCATGCGCCATCGCCCGGGCGAAGGAAGGAAAGGGAGCGTGGGGAAGAAAGGAAAGAGCATCTGACAGGCGGGACCCGTGTCGCAGCGAGAGGAAGCGGTTTGCGGGAGTGGGCGCGCGGTGAAGGCTGAAGCAGGGCACGGTAGTGGGCTGCGGGCGCTCGCGTGCGGTGTGGAGGAAGGGCGCGGAGCGGGCCGCCGAGCGGGCCGATGGGGAGCAGGCCGTGCGGGAGGAAGGGAAGGAAGGGAAACAGGAGGCGGGAAGGAGGGGAGGCGCAAGGGACTGGGCCGCCAGCAGGCCAAGCCAGTTCTGACGCGGGAGAAGAAAAAAAAGAATTGGGCCAGTTCCGGAGTTGGGCTGAAAAGAAAGAAGTTTTTCAAAATCAAATTCTTTCTATTTCTATATTTCAAATCCAAGCCAAATTCAAATGAAATTTGAATTCAACTTCAAACCATTTAGTCGTACACTCAACCAAAAATAGTATGCTTCGGCATAAATACAACAAACATGTTTGTAAACTTTATAGTTAATTTTATTTAACCAAAATATATTATTTAGCCTAGGTTAAAAATTACATAGAAAATTAAATAAATGCTTAAAATTATTTGCTAATTTACCGTTGAAATTTTTGGGTGTTACAAAAACAGGGCCTATGTCATAATGATGGTCATGATCCTGGTATCATGGAGAAACAAACGTGCGATAGGGAGGCAGAATATGCCAACATTGGCAGCGGCTGCGGCTTTGATGTGAAGCAAACACCCCCACTGAAGATTAGCATGAAAACAGAAAAAGGAAATACGACGCGATTGCCATACGGGTTGGTTTTCTCTAGACCCCGTAGGGAAAGACATTCGTATAAAACAAAGAAAAACTACTCTTTTTTAACTAGGATAGAATAATGAAATATATAGAATTGTTATTCGTGCATTTGGAGCTCTGGGGCTCTGGCAATAATCGCTAACTGTCTTAAGGCCCTGTTTGTTTGAATTTACCAGCCGTACTGTTTCAGCAAAATAATAGTATTTTTCTCTTATAATAAATCAACATCAGCATCAACTGTTTTTCCAGCCAACCGAACAGAGTCTTACTATAACTTTCCAGTTCTAATCAAAATTTGATTGTTTATAGAGTGCAAGGGTCCGGACTTGTTTCAAGTGAAACTACAGATTACCTCAACATTGAATTAGAGTCTCACAAACCACTTCACTCTTTCAGAGAAGATATGACACAAACCACACACAAGGGATGTTTTTCTTATGAGGCCAAGGATTCAAAATATGGACAAAATTGGATCCAATCTATAGAGTCAAAGTGCTTTAAAGAAATGAACAATTTTTCTTTTGGAAAAATGGACAATATTTAGATCATTATTGCCATGAATATAAAGTCCTCGCCCCAATATATAATTAAAGAGTTATTTTTCTATTTAACATGTACTACGTTGATCAGTGTAAAAAAAATAGTTTCTTCGTACTTAGTAAATATAATATTTTCAGGTGACAGCTCAAATACGATCCTTTTGGGCTAAACTAGAATACGGAAATTTAAGGGGGGGGGGCCTAAATGAAATTTCCTCTTCAACGGCCCCCTGTCTTCTCCGTTTGTTCATTTCGCGTGGCCTCCCTTGGCCCCCTATTAAACCACCGAGCTGGGCGCCTCCCCGTGGCGCTCGCGGCCGCACTAGCGAGGAGATCGAGAGACAAGAGAGGGGGAAGGCGGCGGCTTGCCGGCTTAAGCCTTCTTCTCTCCCTCCGTCGCCTCCTCCCTACCCTTCTACCCTTCTCTAGGAACCCCTTCTTCCTCCTGGTACGCCTGAAAACCTCCCTCGCGCCCTGTTGGCTCGCCCGCGTTAGATTTGGATTCTCTGCGTTTTCCAATCTGAACCACGATTTTTGAGATCCAGAAGTTCTTGGCTGAGATCTTGGCATTTGGGACTTTCTGACGGGAATCTCTGTTGTTTTCAGAAATGGAGACGTCGGCGCCGCCCAATGCCGGCGCGCCGCCGGCGCAGCCACGGAGGCGGCTGCCGGACTTCCAGCAGTCAGTGCGGCTCAAGTATGTGAAGCTGGGGTACCACTACCTCATCTCCCACGGGATGTACCTGCTGCTGTCGCCGCTGATGGCGCTCGTCGCCGTGCAGCTCTCCACCGTCTCCCCGCGCGACCTCGCCGACCTGTGGGAGCAACTCCGCTTCAACCTCCTCTCCGTCGTCACCTGCTCCACGCTGCTCGTCTTCCTCTCCACTGTCTACTTCCTCACCCGCCCGCGCCCCGTGTACCTGCTCGACTTCGCCTGCTACAAGCCGGAGCCGGAGCGCAAGTGCACGCGCCAGACCTTCATGCACTGCTCCAAGCTCACCGGATCCTTCACGGACGACAACCTCGAATTCCAGCGCAAGATCCTCGAGCGCTCCGGCCTCGGCGAGGACACCTACCTGCCCCCCGCCGTGCTCCGGGTGCCCCCCAACCCGTGCATGGACGAGGCGCGCAAGGAGGCGCGCGCCGTCATGTTCGGCGCCATCGACCAGCTGCTCGACAAGACCGGGGTCAGGCCCAAGGACATTGGCGTCCTAGTGGTCAACTGCAGCCTGTTCAACCCGACGCCGTCGTTGTCAGCCATGGTGGTGAACCATTACAAGCTGAGGGGGAATATCGTGAGCTACAACCTCGGCGGGATGGGCTGCAGCGCCGGGCTGCTGTCCATTGACCTCGCCAAGGATCTGCTGCAGGTGCACCCCAACTCTTACGCGCTGGTCATCAGCATGGAGAACATCACGCTGAATTGGTATTTCGGGAACAACCGGTCCATGCTTGTGTCGAATTGCCTGTTCCGGATGGGTGGCGCGGCCATCCTGCTCTCGAACAGGCGGTCTGACAGGCGGAGGTCCAAGTATGAGCTGGTGCACACCGTGCGCACGCACAAGGGAGCCGACGACAAGTGCTTCGGCTGCGTGACGCAGGAGGAAGATGAGATTGGCAAGATTGGCGTGTCGCTGTCCAAGGACCTCATGGCGGTGGCCGGAGACGCGCTTAAGACCAACATCACCACGCTGGGGCCGTTGGTGCTCCCGTTATCAGAGCAGCTTCTCTTCATGGGTACGTTGATTGCCAAGAAGGTGCTCAAGATGAAGATCAAGCCGTACATCCCCGACTTCAAGTTGGCTTTCGAGCACTTCTGCATCCACGCTGGTGGCCGTGCTGTGCTGGATGAGCTGGAGAAGAACCTGGAGCTCACCGACTGGCACATGGAGCCATCGAGGATGACCCTGTACAGGTTTGGCAACACATCAAGCAGCTCACTCTGGTACGAGCTGGCATACACTGAGGCGAAGGGTAGGATCAGGAAGCGCGACAGGATCTGGCAGATCGCGTTCGGTTCTGGATTCAAGTGCAACAGCGCCGTCTGGAAGGCGCTCCGGACCGTGAACCCGGCCAAGGAGAAGAGCCCCTGGATCGATGAGATTGACAACTTCCCGGTGGATGTTCCAAAGATTTCAAAGGTTGGCAGCGCTTAAAGAACCCTGGTTCTTCTTCTTTAGGTGGCAAGTGGAGTTGGGATGGTTGTCAGGGGCTGGGCAGAGGTTTATTCCATTCCATTGTTTCCACCGTCAGTTTTTGTTTTCAGTTGTAACATGGCATCTGTGAAGGAACTTGAAGTAGATGATTCGGTTAAGTAGAAAGGGTGTGATTTCTTCGCTAGGGTTGTCTGAATGCCTGATATGTCCTATTTTTTCAGATTGGGGAAAGCAATCGATTTTCGGTGTCATTCTTTGCTGCCTGATTGAGACGATTCAGTTGCGGGCAACTGAAACTTGAATTCCCCTATTCAATTGATTGGTTCTGTTCTAACTTCTAACATCTCCTGGATTACCAGTGTTTCGGATTGCTTTCAGCTGCTGGTTCTGATGTGGATCTGAGCTTGCTTGTATGATTCAGAAGGAAGAGCCTGTCAATTATGCATTCATACTCGTAATCAATATCCGACCTGTAAATTATTGCGTGATAGCAGTTGTAGCTTGTCTGGTTGTCTCAGCATTATTTTGAATTAAAATAGAGTTGACCACTTGATCTTGGTAATTTGGTATCATTGGATTCATTGAAGAAAAACATTGAACAGGGTGTACGTACACATGTATGTTTATGTTCATACAAGAAATTTTGTTTTGCCAGCAAGAAGATACAGTACTCCGTATATATTTTGCTAGTACTAGTAGCTGAAAAGGTGCGCATGGTGAAATTTGGCCATGGAATGATGGAACTTGGAACACTCACATCAATCCAGCCTGCAGCTGCAGGCAAGTGTGCGCTGCAAGGGCGGGGTCAGGGGTGAGGTCCCCGTGGCCCGTGCTCCGCATCCAGCCAGTTCGTAGCTGCCTGCTGCGCGCCTTCCTTCCTTCTGTGGCTGCAGAAGCCCAAGCGCTCAGCTCCACTTGCCAACCACATCCTGAATTCCTGATGAACCCCTCCCTGGTCCCTGCAGTGATGTTCCTCTGCGTGTGCACTGCTGTGCAGGCGCACTGGAACGGATTCAGCATAAAACGGCGTTTTCCGTTTCCCGTTGCATGCATGCATGCATGCAGAGCCTACAAGGCTACAACGTCCTGTGACACTGACACCGCGTGAGGATGAGGCCAACACAAGATGGAGCACTGATACAAGATCCAGAATTGCGAGACCGTCCTTTGCCACCACGCAATTTTTTTTAGAAACCATTTGCAGTGTGCGTTAGTTAGATCTGAGGTTCTGAACCAACCGTGGTCCGTTACAGCAGCCGTTTGGAGCATAAATTCCCGTCTATCTGCTGGACGAAACGATTATTAAACGAAAACTTGTAACAGTACCAGTGGTACAGCTGGTGCCAATCATGAGATGGACATGAACAGAAACTGGTCTCATGGTCTGAACAGTAGGTAATTTCACATGGACGCCGCAGCCCGGAACCATCGCAGAAAGGCCGATCAAATGCAATCAAGCCTTGGCTTGGCTCACATGGAGGGGCATGTGACGCGATTCCCTTTTGCGAAAACAGTGACGAGGGATCAAGTCTTTGCTGCAAAAGGCAACATGCGCCAGGGCCATATCCCAGATGCCCTCTGGGAAAGGTCGTCTTTATGGGATACCTAAACCAATCATGAATTTAGGGTAGGTGCTCTCAATAACATGAAACCAAATACTGTATTTGGGATAGGAGCGCAATAAGCCAATAACATGTGACCAAAAACTGTTGCAGGATTCGCGTATCATGTCCTGGTCTTCAGTACCGTGGAAGCCACCACAAGAGCATGTCCAGAAGAGCTGATGCCATCCGAACAGAAATCTGTCATTTGATAGGCATGATGCTCTACAACTACCTCAGGACCAAGTGGTCGTCAGCTTTGAAGACCGGCATTCCAACATCAAAAGCCACAAGTTTTCAACTCGATGATGAAGCCCTCATGTTTTTTAGGGGACTGGAACACGGTGAGCCAAAAAAACGAGTCAAAACAATCAAGGTTACCAGCTGAGATACATAATACTTCACTTTAATGAACGCAGACACGGCCCCTAAACTACCTAAGTTGCATTCTCGTTTATTTTTGACACTACAGTTGCTATGTTCTGTCAAAGCGAGGGCCCCATCCAAAAACTCACCACCATTTGCTTATGGGTATGGCCAGCGCTGTGATGATGACTCATGAAGCCAGGATACCCTTGGATCGCAAACAGGCGCTGATGACTCCACAGGGAGAAACTGAATGACCACCGCAGCTCTGAGGGCAACCTCCTCGCAATAAGAACCACAAGCACCACAAAGCACATGAGGTCCTAACCCTCGGTCTGCCCCTCCTTGGGAATGTGGAAGCCTTCTATCTTGGTTGTAACCTCGTTCACCCCAGCAGTTGTCTTGCCATTTGCATTGGCCGCCTCGTTGTCATCAGCATTAGCCGGGCTAAGCTGCCAGATCCGAATGGTGCCATCTTCCGAACCCGATGCGTATGATTCACCACCAGGTGCGAATCGGACACAGTGGACTGGACCATGATGCCCTTTGTTACAAGCTGCGTTAAAGAAAACTTGTCATTTCATTTGGAAGATAATGGAGTAAAACCATAAACAGGAAATACTGAAGACGGGAGAAGAGAACCACTAATGGGCAAACACAACAAAAGCTTCCCATCTTAAGAAACGGGAAAAAAAACATTACATAAATGACATCAACAGTGTCTAATATTTATCAACAGACCAAAAATATGGTGATTATCAAGTGAATGTAGCCAAAACTATTTGGACAGACCAGTGATTCAGGGTAAACCTGGGGCACAAAAATAGATGCCCACAAGGAAGATCCATTTCCAGACATGTATATATATGCTAGGGGTTTAAGCCTTCTACAACTAGCCACTGGCAAACCAATGTTTCTTATGAAAACTCCCTCACCCAAAAGGCTGTTTCGCCTACCTCAAAGTAAGGCAAATTTGGAACATATAATAGGAAAAAACATCTCGAGAACTCAGGTATTTAAGGAAAACTTGGTCCAGCACTAGCAAATTGTGGAAATCCAAATTATATCATTGCCACATAATACATCTTTTTCCCGAGTTTAAATACCATTCATTGGTACTCAAGCGAAGACATTTTGATTCCTTATATACAATTTTTTGCTACGTGATTTTATTTTGTACACTTGTTAGCTGGGACCTGGGAGAAGCTTTGAAGCTAAAACACTAGAACGTAACTGATAGCGTTGCTAAATAAATACTCAACACATCACAACACTGAAAGCTAGAATTGCAGAATGCAAGTACGCAACTGATAAGATTCATTTGATTAAAAGTCAAACAAGACTGCTATGCTAATCTTTCTATTTGTATAGGCAAATGTACACCAGGGGTCCCGAGCTGCAGGCTTAAGAACTAAAAGGGAAAGAACTTACCTATTTCTTCACCAGTAAAGAAATCGAATACATGAACCCACAAATCTTCTCCTCCAGCTACAAATTTACTCCCAGACTTAGGTTCAAGTGAAGCCGACTCGACATTGCACGGCATATCATAGCTTTTAACAAGGCCGAAGCTGATACAAAATACAAAATGTTTTGTCAGAAAGGGATCAATCAACTAAAGTGGTTAACTAAAATGGTGATAAAAGAAACTTACTGATTTGCGTCCCAGAATTTTACACTTGAGCCATCAGCTGTAGTGATGAACCTGCCATCCGGGCTCACTTCTGCACTAGTGACAGAAGCCTTGGTTTCAAGAGTTTGGACAATTTTTCCAGTTCTCACATCCCATAGCCTGCACAGTACTATAAATATTAATTAAAAGGAACACACCTATAGTGAATATATAGGCCAACCAGCATAAATGTTTATTGTTGATTGGGGCATTTCTTCTGTGCACACACCTTACTCCACCCATGTCAGTGCAGGAACTTAATATAGTTTGGTCACTATGAAGCCAAGCAGCAGTTCGGACAGAACCAGGTGATTTGTCAAGCTCTCTTGGAGCTGCATCAGGACGATTCATATCATACAGACGCAAAGTCTTTTCCATGCCTCCAGTGAGTAAAAGGTGGGTGTCCTGCAGTGTCAATTGCAATTTAAGTCAGGCCAGAAGCAACCCATGAAGAACAGGGCCAATTTTGTACAACAGCGTGCAAAAAAGAGATGGAAGGACAAGACATGAATAAGCTGCACCAAACCCCAAACATATGTTCTCTCAATCAAATTGATTTTAGTTTGCAAATACTTGTCTATTGGCTTTAAAGGAAGCCAAATGCAGCAAACTCCCAAGTGTTTTTTTATAGGTAGCGATATCATAAACATGGAAAGGGGGTAAAACCATGTGCAAACATAACCTAGTTCTATAAGCATTAAAGTAAAATGGACAGTTACTTGGACAGGAGTATAATAAAGTTAAGAAAGTGAGCAAATACTAATGATGCTAAGAAAGATGTGGCCTTGGATACAAATCAACCATATTACCAGTACATTTTTCAGATATCCAATGATTGCAGTAAGCATAACAAATTAGGGCAATAACTGGCCAAATTGTTCACAGTGGTTAACGTCATTCAAAAAAACTTATTAAAGAACTATGCACAACATTTTAGGTGGAAAGGACACTCCAGAAATGACAATCATGGTTTCCATGTATACTTAATTGAGATGAGGACAAGATAAGCATTAGCAAGCACTACCTCAGAGAAGGCACATGCCCGAACTATATGCTTGTGTTCAAATGAATGTAGCTCATCACCAGTAAGGGCATCCCATACTTTACTGGAAAAGGAACATCAACATCAGTCACTAACAGAGAATTCAAATCAGGAATAAGCAATGAAGCGCATCTTGTAGTGGATATGTTAAAGTGTTTACACCTGCCAATTGTTACTTTTTCATGCAAACTTCCAAATTAGTAGTATTTGCTTTGCATGCAATTGTATATTATATTGAACTAAAAAAAACCTACTTAAAAGAACCACATTTGCTAAACAGAGTTGTGTAGCATCCACATTGTACCCAAAATCATCTATTCCCACCGTCCACAAATAAAAGGAAACTGGAATTTTAAGGACAGACTTAAAAAATCCTAGATAGGAAAAGACGCATATACCCCTAACTAAAGCATGTTCACAGGTTTCAATTGACAAGTTAAGAAGATTAAATGGCAGGTTAACAGCGCCATTAAAGAGATTTGATGGCAAGTTAAGGAGATTAAATGGCAGGTTACCATGAATCCCTTATATTTGTGGATTGGAGGGACAAGGGAGTATAGATTATGGCTATGACAATGGTGGTAGGCCACTTACCCTAAACCTTAAGAGTTTAATCACAGTTGTACGGTAACCCTTTCCCAAATTCTTCAATCCCAAATGACCTCGTCAGGTTTTACAGTTTGCTCATCCAAGTGTTCAACTTCATCCAAAAAAAAACTTATATAGCTACTATATATTCTTGATCCTATAGGATGAAAACCAAGAATAAAATAATAATAAATAATAAATGGATGGAAGTTTTCCAGGTCAGCGTATCTATTCTAACCTATATTCACATGAGTTCGCTATGAAATGATGCATGTTAAGGGCGACGACAAATAAACAATTGGACATGACTTCTGTCCTCACCAAACACATTGACAAATATGCCCAGTATATATATCTAATTTAGATCTAATTGTGTTTAAAATTGCTGGCCGATCAGAGTGGCAGGATGAACTCTAGCGCGTCTACATATGTCAGAGGAAGCAAATAAAAAAAACATTTACAGAAAGTATCCATAAAACAGGGATTATTTGATAGAGTATCAATATGCATCCAATTTTGTAAAAGGGGATATCAAATGAACAACAATGCTGATTGGAATTTCAAAGGGTAAGAAAACCATACGCCGAGAAGTCAGCAGAAGCAGATGCAGCCCTCAGAGCATTTCTGTCAAGGCAGCAGCTCCAAACAGCACCTTTATGACCTTGAAAAGTCCCAATCCAGTCACCAGTCTCGCCATTACGAAGCATTGGATTTGTGTCTGCAGAACGAAGAAATAATAAAAAGGTCATTCAACAGGTAGCAACACGAGAACGCAGGTATGCTTCTCCTATTGCAAAGTTTACTAGTATGCAAACGATGTAAAATCATTCAACGCTTGGTAAGGATGTAACCCTTTAGTCGGGCATCAAATTAAAAATGTATAACCTTCACCATGTAGAACAGGTGTCTGACTCCTTTCGACTATCACTTGGTACCAATCCAAGATCGGTACCAAGAGCTAGCCTAGAAACTGCTCACTCCTCTCTTCTCAAATGCATAAATATGTACAGATTCTATGCTATAATAATCTTTTCATGGACAACATTTAGCACACCACTTAAATCGCTCTAACAATCGCACAACAGATATTTAGATATTTAGTTCACCATTCTCATTATTTGCATTAACTCCGCCTATGTTGTCTCAACATAGCAGGTCCCAAGCCCTGGTAAAGGAGGAGGGTTGTGATAGGCGTGGCGAGCGGCGAGCCAACGTTAAATCTAGCCATTCTAATGGAGATGAAACCCGAAAGAAAACCGTTGGGGCGTAACCCTCTTAGCGACGCGCCATATCGGAACCCGGGTATGGTGTTAAATGAGCAAGGGCCGGGTCGTCACCCCCGTGACGCGCCGTGTCGCGATCTAGGCACGGTGTCAAGTGAACAAGGATCGGGTCGTCGCATCCTTAGTGGCGCGCTACATCGGCGCCCGGGTGTAGTGAAAAATGAGCAAGGGTCTTCGCATCTGAGTCGACGGGTGCGAAGGGTAAAGAAGCTAGTCGAACCAACTAGAATCCGTTTAGGTAGTTGGAATGTAGGGTCGCTTACAGGTAAGTTAAGAGAATTAGTTGATACCGCAACTAGGAGGCGTGTAAATATATTATGTGTTCAAGAGACTAAATGGAAGGGTCAGAAGGCGAAGGAGGTGGACAATACATGTTTCAAGATTTGGTACACACGGACAGTTGCGAATAGAAATAGAGTAGGAGTTTTGATTGATAAGAGCCTCAAGAATAGTGTGGTGGGAGTGAGAAGGCAAGGAGATAGGATTATCTTAGTCAAGCTTGACATTGGTGATATGGTCTTGAACGTAATTAGTGCGTATGCCCCGCAAGTAGGCCTCGACGAGAGTGCTAAGAGATAGTTCTGGGAAGACTTAGATGGCCTGATTAGAGCTGTACCTAGTAGTGAGAAGCTTTTTATAGGAGAAGATCTTAATGGGCATATAGGTACTACAAGTGCAGGTTTCGAGGCAGTTCATGGAGGTTTTGGGTATGGTAGTAGGAATCAGGAGGGAGGAAGTTCTGGATTTCACGGTAGCTTTTGACCTGATGATAGCCAACACTTTCTTTAGAAAGAGAGAATCTCATTTAGTGACATTCAGTAGCGGACAACACTCTAGCCAGATTGACTTTGTCCTCGCAAGAAGAAAGAACAGACGAGCATGCTTGGGTTGCAAGGTGATACCAGGGGAGTGTGTTGTTTCTCAACATAAGCTTTTGGTGGCAGACTTTCGTTTTCAGGTGCGTGCTCGTAGGGATAAACAAGCTAAGATTAAAAGAACGAAGTGGTGAAAACTGAAAGGGGAGACATCAGAGGTATTCAGGGAAAGGGTTATCAAAGAGGGCTCTTGGAAGGAAGAAGAGGACAAACAACATGTGGGAGAAGATGGCAACCAACATTCAGAAGGTGGCCTCAGAGGTGTGTAGAGTAACCAAAGGAAGTGGAGGCGAGGCTAAAGATACTTGGTGGTGGAACGAGGAAGTCCAAAGGGCTATTAAGGAGAAGAAAGAATGCTATAGACGCTTTTACCATGACAGGAGTGTGGACAACATAGAGAAGTACAAGGTGGCAAAGAAGACTGCAAAGCGAGCTGTAAATGTGGCAAAGGGTAGAGCATACGAGGATCTTTACCAACATTTGAGTACGAAGGAAGGAGAGAAGGACATTTATAGGATGGCTAGCGTTCGGGAGAGAAAGACAAGGGACTTCAACCAAGTTAAGTGCATTAAGGATGAAAGGGAACATCTCTTGGTGAAGGAGGATGAGATCCGACATCGATGGCAAGAGTATTTTGACAAATTGTTCAACGGTGAGAATACGGACACAACCGTTCAGTTGGATGACTCTTTTGATGACACCAATAGGCGCTTTGTGCGGAGAATCCAAGAATCTGAGGTCAGAGAGTCGCTGAAAAGGATGAAAGGAGGTAAGGCGATGGGACCGGATGGTATCCCAATCGAGGTGTGGAGATGCCTCAGGGACATAGCTATAGTATGGCTAACCAAGCTGTTCAACTGTATTTTTCGATCGAACAAGATGCCTAATGAGTGAAGGAGAAGTATATTGGTACCGATCTACAAGAATAAAGAGGATATTCAATGTTATACTAATTACCGGGGAATTAAGTTGATAAGCCATACTATGAAGCTATGGGAGAGAGTTATCGAGCATCGCTTGAGAGCAATAACGCAGGTCTCTATGAACCAATTTGGTTTCATGCCCGGAAGGTCAACCATGGAAGCAATTTTCTTAATAAGACAAGTTATGGAGCGGTATAGGGAGAAGAAGGACCTACACATGGTTTTTATTGATTTGGAGAAGGCTTATGATAAAATACCAAGGAATGTTATGTGGTGGGCTTTGGACAAACACAAAGTCCCAATGGAGTACGTCGGGCTCATTAAGGACATGTACAACAATACTGTGACTAGAGTTCGAACAAATGATGGAGACACGGATGACTTCCCGATTAGGATAGGACTACATCAAGGGTCAGCTTTGAGCCCTTATTTGTTTGCCTTAGTTATGGATGAGGTCACAAGGGACATACAAGGGGACAACCCTTGGTGTATGGTTTTCGCGGACGATGTAGTGCTAGTTGATGAAAGCCGGACAGGAGTGAATCAGAAACTAGAGTTATGGCGGAAGACTTTGGAGTCCAAAGGTTTTAGACTCAGTAGAACTAAAACTGAGTATATGAGATGTGACTTCGGCACTACTACTCGGGAGGAGGAAGATATTAGTTTGGAAGGTCAAGTAGTGCCTAGGAAGGATACCTTTCGATATCTAGGATCAATGCTATAGAAAGATGGGGATATTGATGAAGATATTAGCCATCGAATCAAAGCAGGGTGGATGAAGTGGCGGCAAGCATCTGGTGTCCTATGTGACAAAAGGGTACCACAGAAGCTAAAAGGCAAGTTTTATAGGACGGCGATTAGACCTGCAATGTTGTATGGTGCAGAATGTTGGCCTACGAAAAGACGACATGTTCAACAGATAAGTGTCGCGGAAATGCGTATGTTGCGTTGGATTTGCGGTCATACAAGAAGGGATCAAGTTCGGAACGATGATATACGTGATAGATTAGGGGTAGCACCAATTGAAGAAAAGCTTGTCCAACACCGGTTGAGATGGTTTGGACATGTCCAACGGAGACCTCTAGAGGCACCGTTGCGTATTGGAATCCTAAGCCAGGATAGTAACGTGAAGAGAGGCAGAGAAAGACCGAAGTTGACTTAGGTAGAGGCAATAAAAGGACACTAGAAAGGATGGAATATACCCAAAGACTTAGCCTTAGATAGGAGTGCTTGGAAGACAGCTATTCACGTGCCTGAACCTTGATTGCTTCTGCTGGGTTTCAACTCTAGCCTACCCCAACTTGTTTGGGACTTAAAGGCTTTGTTGTTGTTGTTGTTGTATTATTCTCATTATTTGCATTGCAATATGGGCACACAGTTAAATCGTGAAAAACTGCAAGATACAAATTAATACACTGCTGGTATCCAATTGAGGTTCGGTGTTATAATGTTTAGTTGTTTACAACTAGTACAAAACAAGCTATTTATTATTGGCTGATTGTTTCATCTGAGATACCTTTCACTATATCATTCATATTTCTAACACCTCTATAGAGAATTTATTATTGCAAGGACGCTCATTATAGAGCACAAAGTGCAATTATATCCTAACAAAATGGGGATGCATCTAATATCCCAAGAAAAAGAGTATATGTGGATATCCAACTGTTTCATTTTCCTTCCATCCATTCTATCTGTAACTCAGTGGTGCTCAAAACATGAAGCTCTAAAAAAATTGCTGACTTATATATAGTATGATTTGATAACCACATCTGAACAGGCATATATATTCTCTATCCAAGTTATCCAGACAACCAATAAATACGACTTAGCAGTCCAAACTGGGAAAAACACACTCCAAAATAGGAACCCATGCGATACAAAACGGAAACTTGCTCTGCAGTTATGTCACTCCAAATTAGGAACCCACGTAATACAAAATGGAAACTTGCTCTGCAGTTAAGATTACATAAGAAATGGCCAGCGATAGGACTTCTATAATATAAGGGCTAAAAATGGCAAGACATTGTATAAACTACGAGTTTGCAATAGCTTCTTCATCCCTCTAAATGGGTCTGATATGGAAAACTTCAGATAAATTGCACCATGCTAACCAGGCAACCATAAAACCTTAAATGATTGCATTGGATAGCACTACAGATCTAAGACTGAAACAACACATAATCTTGGTCACATGTATATTGGAGTCACCACCCTTTCTCACCAGCAACACAGATTACTTAATATCAGTACCGTTCATAGCCATAACCTGTTGGAGGCTACTTTGGCAAACATTTGGGAGACATGGAAGTTTGACCTAGCAACATAAAGCAAAGTACATGCATACGGATGGACCAGGAAAATCACAATGAAATAAATCAAGAAATATACTGGGTTTCTCTTGCTCAAGGGTCAGGGAGTGGGACTGGTAAAAATAATGGTTAAAATGCCTTGTGTTCTCAAGAAATCAACCACGTGGCCTACTTATCCGTTAAGGTCCATCCCGCCAGGTGCCAACTGTTTTCTGCCTAATAACCAACAAATAAGCGCCACGTTAAATAATCAGCAATCAGACGCTACGTGCCAGCCCAATGCTCCATAGCACTTTAAAACAAGTGCAAAACAGCACAAGGAAAAACACTCGGACCTTTCTAGGTTGGCAATCAGTTTCGCCATTTGGACATAGATGTTTGTTTTAGAAAAGGAAACTATGGTTTTCTGTGTCTATTGACTCACTATCCCTTAAATGATGCATTCTTTGCTAAAAGGATGTAACTAATTGGCAATAATACCGTTATCTTACACAACATGGGTTTGTAGTCACATTTACTGGAGCAGCAAAAGAACACTGTCCAACTTCGTTTACAAATATTGAGCCCCCACACCAACCAAACTACACAGTTGAAAAGCATCAGGAGACTATCACGGCACAAATTGCACTGGCAACTAATTCTTACATCCACATAAAATTAGATTGAAATTGCAACGCTCAAACACATGCATCCTAGCCAACATATCGTAAACACATATAGCTAACAGCAGACAATCGTATCACAATCACTCAATCACCATGTCAATCCGAACCAATCAGAAAACTAAAATGAAACTTATCACACGGGAGGGGAGGATGGGGATTCGCTTACCCTTGCTGGCGCTGATGAGGAAGTAGCCATCGGGTGTGACGGGGCTGTAGAAGAGGTCCACCACCGGCCGCGAGTGGCCGTGGCACACCAGCGGGATCGCCACCTTCTTCTTCTCCATCGTTTGGATTCGCTTCCCTTCCCCCGGTGAGAAAGGACCCTAGCCCGTCGAACCAACGATGACCCTGGAATGCACCGCCCCCCGCGCGCGCGCCCAAACCCTAGCACTCCGATCGAAGAAGAGAGGAAACCCACAAAAAATCGGGGAAAATCGGAGGATAATCGAATCAAATCGCGCGGATCGGCGCGGGGTAAGGCGATCCGGATCCTTAGGGTTGGATCTGTACAGGCGCTTTATTGGGTGGATGGATCGCGGGGGCGGGCGGGAGTGTGAGGCGAGGCCGGCCTCCTGGGGCGAAGGGTGGGGAAGGGGGCAGGAAGCCGGACGCTGTGCTTATATAGGGTTAGGACTTTGGACGAGACGCTCGATCAGGTCCTTCGGCCGTGGTCGAAGCGGGAGGGTGACTGCGCGAGTGGGAGCTGTCGCCTTCTCGGGCTGGGGGAGTCGTTGTGGACCGCTGGATCAGCGTCTAACGGTTCGGATTTTCGGTGAGCGTTTTTGGGAGTTGGTCTGGGCCTTGACGTATTTGGCATTATATGGGCCTTTTCTATGGAGAGCGAGATAGTGGGCCGAGCAACTGTTCCTTCTCCCCCTGACCTTCCTCCATTATTATTGTTGTCCGATTTTACCTCTCAAGCTAGTGCCACACCATGTCGGGTGTGGCGATCTATCCTGCACGGGAGAGAAGTTTTAGAGCAAGACATTGTCAGTCGGATTGGGACTGGCGAGACCACCAATATCGGGTTATTTTGGCCAGTGTGCTGTACTCTGGAGGTTGGGCGACCACAGTGGGTGAGCGAGCTGATCGACCACACTACAGGCACTTGGAATAACCAGCTGTTGGAGGCAGCGTCCTCCCCACTGGATAGGATAGGGAAGCGATTCTCAATATTCCATTGGCCAACAGACGACAAGAGGATTTCTGGGCTTGGCACTATGAGAAAACAGGTATTTATTGGTTCGCTTGGCTTATAGGATGCTGGTTCATAATCACGAAAAGCGTACATCATGGTTAGAGAGCAAAGCATGCAATTCAGACATCAAAGCTGAAGCAAAATGACTGGGCTGCATTATGGCGGACTCAGGTACCTTCGAAGATCCGTATGTTCCTACGGAGACTTGCAAAACAATCGATGCCTACAAATGATATGCTAAAAAATAGAAACATGGCGACTCATAGCTCGTGCATCATCTGTGGGATGCAAGATTCATGGTGGCACGCTCTGGGATTGCAACATGTCAAAAGTGCATATGGGCACTGGAGGAGAAGGAAGGTCTAGTCGAATTCCTGAAGTCAACTCAGCCACAAGAAGCTCGGGTTTGGCCAGCAACGTTGATTGATACATTATCTCATGAAGATATGGTCAGAGAGTCGCAGTCACCTTATGGGCAATCTGGTACGCAAGACGTAAGGCAATATATGATCAATCTTTTCAGATCCCTCTATCAACCCATTACTTCATTGAGAGATTCTTGTCGGACTTGACCATGGCAAGTAGTAGTAAACTAGAGACACAAAGGAGTGGGCAGCAGCAGAAGCCTGCACCTCGCTGGATTCCTCCACCAACAGGAAGCATGAAGATTATAGGAGCCTCAGCTGCCGTGATGACAGGAATATTGGATCTGGAACAAATGTAAGCTCTGGCCTGCCGTGAAGGGTTGGCGCTTGCGACTGACCTTGGGCTACAAAAATTCAGAATGGCGACTGACTGTGCGAACGTGGTTAAAAACATCAAAGGAGATGGCATGGGGTCTTATGGCCAGATAATTCGAGAAATAAATGCGAGGATGGAGACCTTCAACTCGGTGGATATTGTACATGAGGGACGCCGCTCAAATATTGACGCCCATATGGTGGCGAGGAGTTGTGTGTCTCAGTCAATAGGAAGGCATGTATGGTTTCTTCATGCGCCGCCTGGCGTTTTGTATCTCCTTTCCTGTGAACCATGAATAAATTGGGAGGGATAGTGCTAAAAAAACTAGAAAATATGATAGTTTTCTTCTTTGGTGGTTTTCAAGGCGGTGTAGTCTGACATGACATCACATCACGTTCTAAAGAAAAACTCGATCCGCGGGGTATGACTGCCCTCGAGCATTGTGCTCAACAAAAAGATCTTTTGACGCAGATCGAGAAACCCCGAACCCTATCCAATAGAGATAAGTGTGATTGTGGGAAGGCAAAAATCAAATTTGCAAGGAGTGCCACCAAATTAGCTGAACAACAGGTGTCCGAAAAATATAGTTTGCAGAGAAAGATATGATTTTTCATATAAAAATTATCTTCATTTAATTCCGCAAAAAAAAGATATGATTTTTCTAAGATATATTAATCATATCAAATCATATTATTTTTGTGGAATTAAATGAAGATAATTTTTATATGAAAATTATAGATCTCAACGAGATCTACAACTTTCTAGTTTTGAGTTTTTTCATTTAAAGTCGTTAAGATGCTCAAAAAAATTAATGACATATTTAGACTTAAGGGTATTTTCGTCTTTTCACACCTGCAGTTTGACAGCGTTAGAGCCTAAACTGACGGCAGTGACATGGAGGGCATAAAAAAGTTGAAGCAGTGACGCTGAAAATCGCTGAATTTTTCCAGAGACATACAGAACATTGCGATTTTTTTTTAATGGTACACCAGAAATTTCCCTTTTTTCAATCGTTTTTCTTGTGTGCTACATGGACAACCTAGACATCGTTTTTCTTGTCTGCTACATGGACAACCTAGACCCACAGTGCCGATGAGCTGTCTGATGCGTAGTGCTTTGCGCCTCTGCTGCAGCCGCTAGTGGTCATCCGCCAGCTAGCTATTAATCAGAAACCAGTGCTAGCATAGAGTCATATACTCGAAAAAGGCAGCAAATAAATGCAGAAGATCAAAACATGTTAGCTTGTGTACATGTGGTGCTTATGAGTTGTAAGTAATCATAATCCAGTGTGCTGGCATAGGTTCATGGACGAAAACAGCAACAAACACTACACCAGATCTAATAATCACTATAGGGTCGGAAGCCCCCATTACTGCCAGAGTCCATACCGGTGGAGATTAATCGACGATGATAGGGTGGCCTATAACTACCGGGTAGGCAACCCGCCAATAATAATAGGCACAACACTATCGGGTCAGAGAAAAAACCGACAGTGATATTCATGACTATCACTGCCGGATTGGATCATCAACCGGCGGTGATATGCTAAGTGAGTATCATTGCCGGTTTAGACCATGATGCGACAATGGCACTTATGACACCACTACTGGATCAGTGCACACCTAAAAAGTCCTAAATGGCTAGAGGGGGTGGGTGAATAGCCTAATAAAAATTCTACAAAACACTAGAGCAATTGGTTAGACAGTTAAATGGCGATAATGCAATTTTGCTCTAGTTGTACAATAAATAGGCAAGCCAGTTACCACAAACTAGTTGCTATGACCTCTAGTAAATGTCATTCACTCAAACAAGCTAAGTTGCTACTTCTACCTCAAGTGAACTAGAGAACAAGCTGGTTACAAATAATTACAACTAAGCAAAACAACTAGCTAGGCAACTAAAAAGATAAGCAACTACTGTACAAGAGATATATATGTATGAAATGCAAGAGTAGTAGAGAGCAATATCGATCTGGGCAAGTGTCCAATATAAAATCCATTGAGACAATGACACACAATATTTATCCCGTGGTTCGGTTGCTTGCTGGCAACTTAATCCACGTTGTGACAATGCACTCACTTGGTGGCTCACGCGCTAATAGGCATCATACGCCTAGCCCAACACTTGGGTGCCGTAAGAACCGCAACAAGATGAGGGTACACAAGTCATGAGCAATTTACTAGAGTTATCTTTCGCGCTTCGGCTGGGAATAGGCACAAGAACCCCTTCACAATATCACCGATCAGAGCCAGAGACAATCACCACCCTCTACTCAACGATCACCGCTGCTCCAAGCATCTAGGTGGTGGCAGCCACCAAGAGTAACAAGAGAAATCTACAGCGAAACACAATCACCAACTGCCACTAGATGCAATAATCACTCATGCTGCACTTGGATGTTCTCTGTTGACGGTAGTGAACAACCTTTTTAAACCGTCAATAAAACATGTATAAGGGCACAATTGTGATCACCAACATAGGTCTAGGGGTTTAAACTAACAAATTTCACAAGTTTTGGTGAATCTGTATTTTCTGCAGGGTTTATCGAGAAAACCGTCAAGGCAGACCTACATGTCAGAATTAATCGTGCTTATCCGTCGTGAAACAGGCACCAGAAGGTTCCAGAGGACACCACACCGAAGCGGGAGCCGAGGGGCGGCCATGTGGGGCCGGCCGGCCCCACCTGCAGGCCGTTCGGTCCCTAGGCCCACCTGTCAGCCTCCGCTTCGTTATGTCGGTTCTCCACTGCCTCCTAGGTTGCATCTACGCCGTTCTTTAAGTCAGTTTGATCCAAGGGTTCACGATGGACGCTCCGGCCTATATATATCAGCCCCTGCCCCCCTCACTCAGCAGATCCCTGAAACCCTAATTCATATCTTTATGATTAGAGCCAGCAATCAAGAGAAGATTAGTCCTCCATAGGATCTAGTCTTATAAATAGAATAGTGAGATAGAGAGTGAGGGAAGAGTTTAGATGAGGTGCCGGCCTGTTGGTGCTCACTCTACGACTTGTACCTTGGCGGATCCAAGTTCTACTTGAGCTTGCCTTCAAGATCTCTTTGGTAATAAACTTCTAATTCAAGTAAGCATCGTGTTTATATTGCTCATCAGGTTCACAACTCTTTGAGTGCTTTAATCTATAGGATGCTCTAGGTTAAAGTAGTAATTGCAGGTGTAAGCATGGTGCTTAGACCGGGTTACTTGTGGATGTACCCTACATTCAGGATCAGTGGCAGCTCGCGAGGGTGACTCTTATAGCCTCGTTGAATCCTCTGTAGTCCACCTCCCATTTGTAAGCCTAGCAGGATTTAGTTACTATAGGAAACATACTCTGCTTGTGCTTCC